TCGGTTCCTTGGGTGGATCGAGTACCTACTCACCCCCGGCATCCAGATGATGTCCTCGCAGTCCAAGTACAAGCGCAGCAACCAGCCTTCTGAGACCCCTCGTACGCACCGCGCTCTGGGCAAGATGGCGCCCGGCGGCCTACATGACGACGACGCTCCTCGAATGTCGGCTGACTCCGAGGACAGCCAGGACCCATTCGCTGAACAACTGTCGGGCTCCCGCTGATCGCATGGCTCCGACCTCCTCGTGCGGATGCGGGACATGGTACGAGAAGAGCTCTCCAAGGCCTCCGCAACCATAACCTCGGGGGTCCGGCGCAAAATCAAAGAAATCGGGCACCGTACAGCCTCCCTGGAATCCCGTATGGACGATGTGACCACCATACTGGAAGGCCACGAACAAGATTTGGAGACTGCCCAGACGGAACTCTCTCTTCTCCGCGACCAACTGGAGGACCATGAGAACCGGGCTCGGCGTAGTAATATACGCGTCAGGGGCCTTCCTGAATCGATTGAGGATCTCCTAGGCTCAGTCACCGTGCTGTTTCGGGAGTTGGCCCCTGATCTCTCTGCGGACCGGTTGGAGATGGATCGCATTCACAGGGCGCTTGGACCCCAGAGGTCGGACGGGCCGCCGTGTGATGTGGTGGTCAAGCTACACTACTTCCGCACGAAGGAGCGGCTCTTGAAGGCCGCGAGACAGACGCCGGCCTTGTCTTTCCAGGGTCACCCCTACAGCCTATACTCGGATCTGGCCCCTTCGACCATCTTGAAGCGCAGAGTCCTTCGTCCCTACCTCCAGGTTCTCCGGGATGCGGGAATCGACTACAGGTGGGGGTTTCCCTTTCGCCTCCTCTTTACGCACCAAGGGAAATCCTTCCAGCCCCGGTCTCCTGATGACGTGCGCTCTTGCCTCCGAGAGATTGGCCTCTCCTCCCGGCCCGCAGCCTGGTCAACGGAGTGTCCAAGCCTCCCAACGGTCCCATCCCTCACAAGCCTCGCACGATCCTGGTCGGTCACCACGGAGATCTCAGGCCCTGCAACGTTTAGGCTCTCAGGTATATATCTCGGGTATATATCTTTGTATTATATTGCTTTATTTTAGTGAAGTGGTGCATTCAGGTTATTCTCAGAGCTGTGTTGCCTGTTTGATACTTCACGGTTTCTTTGGTTAAACGATGGTGATTAATATTTATTCTATTTACTGTGTTTGCTGGGACCTATCCTCAGGTTTTCCTGGCCTCTGCCGCTACTAAACATAGGGCGTATTGGTTGCCTTTCACAAACGGACGCACTTCCACTGCACCAAGAATATCTTGGATCCTCAGGGTCGCTACCTCCTACTAGGGGGTGATATTTTGGGGTCCCCCATTACCGTTCTCTGTTATTATGCACCGAGCCTCTCACCGCTCCCCTTCCTGACCCATCTATTGGAACTGATTAATACTCATGCCCACGGTACGCTTTTTTTGTGCGGGGATTCCAATTTGACACTCAACCCTAAATTGGACAGGTCTAGGCCTCCACTGTCCCCTACACCCTCAGATAGCAACCGCCATCAAGCCGTTTTTGCTGGGTCGGGGTTGGTGGATGCCTGGCGGGAACTTCCCCCCCTAGCTAAGGACTTCACCTATCACTCGGCAGCTCATGATCTTTATACCCGTATTGATCACATATGGATTCGCCATTCTTTCCTCCCAAATATTATAGCGGCAAAAATTTGCTCAGTTCCCTGGTCAGGCCATGACCCCACGGTCCTGACCTGCCGCTCGCTGCTTCCCAGGCCTTCCTCCTCCTCTTCCTGGTCCTTGAACGACTCCCTCCTCTCCCACCCTGATGTTGTAGACCGCCTAGCCTCTCTTTCGTCTGCCTACTTTAGAGAGAATGTGGGCTTTGTGTCCTCACCCACCGTGCTGTGCGAAGCGTATAAGGGGGTGCTTCGTGGACACATTATCCATTTGGCGTCCCAACGGCGGAGAGACCGGGAGGCTCGTAGGTTGGGCCTGGAGGCGGAGTTGGAACGCCTCACTGAACAGTGTAAGGCCTCTCCAACGCCTCGGCTGAGGGCCAGTCTGGAGAAGACTAGGGTGGAACTCAACCTTTGCCTTACCGATGTAGCTGAACGCCAACTGCGCTGGGCCGGGCAAAAGTTTTATGCCCATAGCAACAAGCCAGGTACTATGCTAGCAAAATGTCTCCGTTGCTTTGAGCCACTCAAACGCCCTATTTCCTTGCGCACGGCGGACTCAGTTCTAACTAGCAACCCGCAATCGATACTGCAGGAGTTCCAACACCACTTATCCCACTTGTATGCAGAGCCGCCCCCTTTTCCCTTGGCCAAGGCGGAGACGTTTTTCCAAAAACTGTCAGTTGCCAGCGATGATGGACCCGCAAAACGATCTTTTGGCCTCTGATATCACTGAAGACGAGGTGCGCTTAGCGATTAAATCGTTGAAAGCTAACAAACGTGCTGGACCAGATGCTTACTCTTCCCTTTTTTATAAAAAGATTTCAGACATTGTAGCCCCCCACCTGACCTCCCAATTTAACTACATTAAGCGGGGTCATCCGTTTCCTCCCGAGGCCCTTAAAGCAAATACTGTTATGATACCCAAGCCTACAACGGATCTACACTCTTGGGCTAATTTTAGACCCATCTCGTTACTCAACACCGACGTGAAACTCCTGGCTAAAGTTTTGGCCTCTAGAATTAACACTTTTCTGGGGCACCTCATCCATAAGGACCAGGTGGGTTTCGTACCCTGTAGGCAGGCGGGAGACAATGTGCGCCGCGTTCTTAAACTTATACACCTAGCTCGTTCCCGGGCCAATAAAAATTATGTTACTCTTCCTGGACGTGCGCAAAGCATTTGACACCTTGTTGTGGCAGTATCTGTTTTTTGCCTTGCGCAAATGGGGTTTTGGTGATGACTTTTTAGCTTGGATATCTGCGTTATACTCCCAACCCTCGGCCTCCATTCGCTATGCAGGTTTCAGCTTGGCCGCTTTCCCCATATTGCGGGGCACTAGGCAGGGGTGCCCTTTATCCCCCATTCTTTTCATATTGGCTCTAGAACTATTGGCGGCTGCCATTCGGGGCAATTACTCCATTCAGGGATTAGAATTGGCGGGTACCCCTCACAAAATTTCGCTTTACGTGGATGATATCCTGTTAGCCCTATCCTCCCCTCTCTTCCCAATTTATTCCGTACGTTATCGGATTTTGAAGCGTTTTCCTGCCTACAGGTTAACGAGACTAAATTGAAAGCCCTGAATATATCACTGAGTGCCGGTGGTCTTGGATTGGCTCAATCAAACTTTCATTTTTCCTGCCCCCTTGCCTGCCCTACTTAGGAATTAGAATTACCTCCTCGCTTGACTCACTCTTCCAGGCAAACTATCCCCCACTCTTCCGTGAGTTGTCCTCACCTCTTGGCACAATATGCCCTTGTCATGGCAGTTTTTCACACTGGAACACACAAAGATGCTTGTAAATGCACCAGAATGCACTGGAACATGCTCAAATCCCAGGCAAAACCAGTTTAAAAAGAAATGCATTGGAACATATCAAAAACATGCATAAATGCCTTACGCAGAAACACATCTAGATCTTGTCTGGAGATGGTGTGAACAAGCTCTCAAGTATAAAGTTAGTCCTTACAATGGCGTAACTATCACCATAGCGACCCACTTGGTTGCTATGGGGCTTGGTCAGGAGGCAGTGGTGGCGGTGGAGGAGGTGGCCGGGGCCCGGCAGCAGTGGCGCTGGTGGAGGTGAAGGCTGGGGCCCGGCAGTGGAGGAGGCTGGGTCCCAGCAGCGGGCAGCTCGGGGCTGACAGATAAGAGGAGCACAGTGTACAGGGAAAGGGACCCCGACCAGCCCACCTGAGGCCCTGCAGAGCCCACCATAGAGAGTATATGGTGGGCTGTACGGGCTCCCAGGTTAGCTATGTGGGGTCACAGGTGGGCTCTGCGGGGTCACTCTTAGGTGGGCTGTGCAGGGTCTCTAGTATATGCAGGGGTCTCAGGTGGGCTCTGCAGGATCACTCTCAGGTGGGCTCTGCAGGATCACTCTCAGGTGGGCTCTGCAGGATCGCACTCAGGTGGGCTCTGCAGGGTCTCTGGTGGGCTCTGCAGGGTCTATGGTGGGCTCTGCAGGGTCTATGGTGGGCTCTGCAGGGTCACTCAGGAGGGCTGTGCAGGTTAATCTGGTATGTGTGGGGCCTCAGGCGTGCTGTGCTGGGTCTCAAGGGGGGCTATAGTGGGCTCTGCAGCAGTGAGTGGCGGAGTGATCTGTTTTTCGGCTCTGACGTCAGAGCCAGCAGGAGCAGAGCTAAAGAGCAGGAGATGGAGCAGGCATGGGAAAGTGTTCTGGAGGTAGGTACTTTTTTGGGGGGGTAGGGAGGGCAGTTTGGGAGGGAGACAGGATCACTCTCAGGTGGGCTCTGCAGGATCGCACTCAGGTGGGCTCTGCAGGGTCTCTGGTGGGCTCTGCAGGGTCTATGGTGGGCTCTGCAGGGTCTATGGTGGGCTCTGCAGGGTCACTCAGGAGGGCTGTGCAGGTTAATCTGGTATGTGTGGGGCCTCAGGCGTGCTGTGCTGGGTCTCAAGGGGGGCTATAGTGGGCTCTGCAGCAGTGAGTGGCGGAGTGATCTGTTTTTCGGCTCTGACGTCAGAGCCAGCAGGAGCAGAGCTAAAGAGCAGGAGATGGAGCAGGCATGGGAAAGTGTTCTGGAGGTAGGTACTTTTTTGGGGGGGTAGGGAGGGCAGTTTGGGAGGGAGGAGCATACCATATTTTGTGTTTGGGGCCTTGTGATTTCTAGTTACGCCTCTGAGTCTTTAGTTTTGTGAAGTTTTAAATCTACACGATCATCTTAGGTAAAAAACATTTCTGCCTTAAAAATTATGATGTAACAATTTACATCAAAAGTATGTAATATATGTAATAAAATGTAATCATTTGTACCCATTTAACAATTTTTCCTACATTTAATTTTTAGAGAGACCACCTAAAAAATGCTCAGCAATTCTTTCAACTTGTTGGTGGCTCGGCCAGTGAGTGTGGTAAGTCATCAAATGTTTGTACAATGCATCACTTTTTTTAATGTTCATTAACTGTTTTATTGTGGGTATTCATATGCTATATATTTTGCTCATTTATTTCCTATCCAAGAAGTTTTGTTTTTGCCTTTTTTATGGTTTTTCTTAGTTTAAACATTGCATACATGACTGACGCATAGCAAGTTTAAAAAGGACAAAAGCCTTAAAGGTTTTTTTTCATACTTATAGATTCTAATGCCATTAGTTTTTAAAGCCTTTTTCTGGTGAAAAAAGAACTCCTCTTGCAGTGGTGCTGCCCCCCACAAGGATTAATTACTCATTTACTTTTAGGGTATCAGAAAAAGCAGTTTTATTTACCCGATCCCTTGGCAGTCTGCGCTCACCTTGTCTTACCTATGCTCCGGCTTGCAGACTGTCCCTCCGCATCCGCACGTATAATGCAGGGCTATGGGCCCTGTATTGTACATGATGACATCAATGGTCCTCCAACCGCCAGAGCATAGGGGAAGATGAGGCTGCGGGTGTCAGTCTTGGAGATTGCAGGAATGGGGACCAGGTAAGTAAGAGTCCTTTTCCCAGGTACCCCTAAACCTAAATTAACATTATTATTTTTTCCGGAATTCAGTTTAAGACAAATCATTAATCCAACTGTCACTGCACTTTGTGTGAGTCTGTACAAGATTAATGGAATAATCTACTCGCAATAAACATAGTTCCAAACCGCACTCTTATCAGCCTTGGTGACCCAGTCAATAGAACGCTGCTTGTAGTTATAGTCACGGATGGCACCAGTAGAAATCACATGTAGAAGAGAAGTCACCAGCACTCCATTGGTATGTGAATAATCAATTTAGATTTATTCACATAGTGTCACATGTACAAATAATCAACGTTTCGAGGCCACGCAGGGTCCCTTTGTCAGGATGACAGTGACAATGTGTATACAGATGGGCAAACTTTAACCTCTTGCCGCCCGCCCGTAGTAAAAAAACGGACGGACGGCACTGCTGCATTGGCGGGTTGCCGTCGCCAGACGGCCTGTATTAATGAATAGAAAGCCTGCCGTGAGTGACTCGGCAGAAGACGGAGGACACAGCGGGGGATCGTAGACAAGGTAAGAGACTGTATTTCCGATTGTGGCTCGGGGTTACTGCTTATGTTACTGAAACGTTTTAGGTAACACTGATAACACTAAACTGATGAGCGGTAACAGCTTTTAAAGCGTCGCCTATGGCCAATTTTGGATATTATCGTTTTTTGAGGTTTCGCGCACGCAATTTTAAGGCTTGACATGTTTGGTGTCTTTTTACCCGACGTGACCCCGTCTTTTATATTTTACCAAAAAATTGGGTAATAATAAATGTTTTATCATTTAATGTAGCGGAAACTGTTTTTTAAAAAAAAAATCGGTAATTTTTCCTTAATATAGTAAAAAAAATAAAAACCCCAGTGGTGAATAAATACCACCAAAAGAAAGCTCTATCTGTCCCCAAAAAAGGGTATAAAATTCATTTCAGTACAGCGCTGCATGACGGAATAAATGTCAGTCAAAGTACTGCAGCGCTGAATACTGAAAATTGGCCTGGATGGGAAGGGGGTTTAACACCGCGGATGTCAACTGGTTAAATACAATCAGCTACCAAGTGAGTCTCATCCCCTCTGATATCAAAATGACATAATAATTCCACCAAAATAACATAAAACCCAGTGCTAAAGCAAAACAGACAAACCATGTGGATTTCCAGTATATACACATAATGTAAACAAGAGGGAGGGAATGGATGTAGTCATCCAATCATGGAGAACAATGCAGCCGTGATCAGGGCTTGAAAGCTGCATCCCCTGTTGCCTTGGTGTCCAAAGGGGAGGGACAGCACTCATTCTTTCATGTCGCTACATAGGCAGTTTGAGTATTGGGAGTGACCGCTGTAGTGCACATGCGCCATTCCCCCAAAACATATTTGGTCTCCAGGCACCCAAGGAGACATTGTGCAATACGGACACACAGTGCACAGCACATTTAGAGTGTGCAGCTTCCATGGAAAGAACACATTTGAGCACGAAGCTTGGAGGAAAAATACAAAAGAGAAAGAAGAAAATGGGGGGCAGTGACCAAATGAGAGGGGGAGGAAGCAAGAAAGGGGAAAAGACACCAGATAGAAAATAACATGCGAGAAACATAAGGTAGTAAACACAATAGAATGCCGAAGAACAAATGTGAATTAGGCATGCAAATAACAAAGATGTGATCAATATACTGTATCTAGTCCATAATTTCACATATTTGTTTACCTGAAAAACTCTATACGTACGTATATATATCCACACAGTTTGTCTGTTTTGCTTTTGGTAAACATCATTATGATGTCAGGGGGGTGGGACTTACTTGGTAGGTTACTGTATTTAAAGTTTGCCCATCTGTATACAGATTGTCATGTCATCCTGAGAAAGGGAGCCTGCGTGGCCCCAAAATGTTCAGTAAATGTACATGTGACACTATGGGAATACATCTTAGCTGAATATTCTCACCCATGAAGTGCTGGTGACTTCTCTTCTCCATGTAATCTACTCGCAGACATTCCATTTACTCCTTAGCACCATTTGTGGCAGAACCTAATTCTGACCCTACTGGGCCCTTATCTCTCAGAGTGTCTGAGGTCCCTATCATTTTGGATCTCCCTTTACCTAAATTCAAGAGATGAGGGTATTCAGCCTCAACCCCCAGCTGTTTACTGGTTGGTCTTTGGTCAGGACTATGCTAATCTAACATTTATTTTCCTGAGGTCAAGGGTTAGGTATCCTATACCTCAGCTTTTACCTTATAAACATTCTTGTTTTGTTGACCACTTAACTATAGGTCAATTTGGTTTTCTCTTCCTCCTGTTTTTTCCATACAGTTGTTGCTTCCATACAGTGGTTCAGGCATTGATTCCTTTGGGTATTTTTCAAGTAAAATTTTAAGATAAGTTGGATTTCTCAGTGCAACCCTCAGTTGGACTGCTTTTGAATGTCCCAATCGTCTCAGAATAACTGCATCCCTTGTCCCTTAGTGAATGAGAAAGAAAACAGGATTGTTGTACATACCATCAGCTGTTTTTGGAGTTCATTAAAGGACACAGGTCCCATCTCTTTATGTTGTACTGCTTGTACTGAAGCATGAGAGTTAGGGGGCTGGTCTTCCATGCTTTTTTTCTGCTTGCCAGTGTCCACTTCCTCAAGGCAGGTTACATAGTTACATAGTATTTGAGGTGGAATAAAGACATTAGTCCATCAAGTCCAACCTATTAGGATCTCATTCTAGGAGTACCTGTACCCCTGTATATTACGGTCCCTTAAGAAATCGTCCAAAAGTTTCTTGAACAATTCCACATTATTTGCTGAAATCACCGCCTGTGGCAGTGAGTTCCAGACCCTAACTGATCTTACTGTGAAGAACCCCCTTCGCCCCTTGTGCTGGAATTTTTTTTCCACCAATTTTAGGTGGTGGCCTCTAGTTTTTGTAATGGAGTTAATTTTAAACAGTTTATCGCTAATGTTGCTACCACCATTGAACATTTTGTACATGGAGATCATATCCCCCCTTAATCCCCTCACCTCCAATGTGAACATGTTTAAATTTAGTAGCCTTGTCTCAGCATAACACAATTCTCTCAGAATCACTAAATCTTGTGTCCCTTAATGAACTCCAAGAAATTCATTTTATGGCACAAAATGCTTTTTCTTTCTTTAGCTTTGTAGATGCTACTGTAGATGCTCCGGTGCTGCTGCACCCCAAGAAAAATCTCAATGATATTTTCGTTTCTCTGTTTTTTTATATGCTACCCTAATCATCCTTATATATGTGGTTTTCCAAAGTAAATGAGATCTACCAAATGTTGGACTTGACCTCCTCATTGCATAGTACCTAGTTACAGTTCAGGTCCAAGTGGAGGCCTTGGCTTTACTACAGGGGTACGGTGGCATATTTGAAGATAATACTACCTGACCTCTGTGCCCTAAGAGGGCCTGCCTCTGGAAGCTGTATTTAAGCTAAAGGAATAGGCTGCAGATGGCGATCCCTTTTAGCCTGCTTTCTCTCTTTCTGCGATCTACTTTCTCTTACGTCTTCTTGTATGTACCTGTTCTTCCTTCCACCCACCAACCTTTTCTCTTGTTGTTTTTCTCCTTGTTCTTGCTTCTATCCTGGACTCTTTGTTTATATCTTTAGTTATTCCCCATTTTCCTGTGGTTACCTGGTTGCCCTTAACCCGCAAAGATGAGTTGAATTGGTGAGGTTTTCCATATTCCTCTGCTACGTGTAATAGTTTTAGGGGTAAACCTACCTTTTTGATTTGACGTCCTACTGATGCTGTACGTTAAAGGATTGATGTTTTTTGTAACTTTGACATGTAAATAGAATGTATGTTATGTTATATGGAAGCTGTTTCAGACTATTGTAACTTGAACCTTTGTGTTTAGCTTGCAAAAATATGCTGAATAAAGGAATTTAAAAAAGAAAAGAGAATAAACTACTCTGCCTGCTTCATAGATCAAAGTCCACAATGCAGATGTTTTGCTTAGGTGCTACCGTTCACAACCTTAGAAAGCTATAAAAATATATATTTTTTAATTATTCTTTTAAAATGTACAGATTGCTATCTTGTTGCATTGTAGGTCTTTTGAATAAGATACACCTAAAATGTTTTCTCTGTTGCATAAAAACAATATAGCTAAATAGGACACATTATAGTTATATAGGACAAGGGTTGCCACTAAACGATTCATATTAATGCTGAGAAGAAATAGAAATCCCTTTTACTCCACCATTCATTAGTGGACACAGCGCTAAATTTTTTTAACCTGTGAGTAAGCTGCCACCTGCAGGAGAATTGGACACAGCAAAGCAAAAAGGGGCCAGCCCTGGTACTTCCATGCAATGACCCTGCACCCTATGTCCACTCTGGTAAGTTGTCTGGGGTGCTGGACTGCCTGACTAGTCACTGAAGTGTCTTGCCAGACCCCCAAATTTGTGAATTTACTGCAGCAGTACGTGCCATGGTTCCAGGGCCAGAACAAACAGTAGATCACAGGCTGGCTCTGAGACTTACCTGCAGTGAATAAGGCTGCTTTATGTTTCTGGCAGCTTTTCCCCTCACTTCAGTACCCCTGTTCTTGCTAGATGCTGGGAGCCTGACAGGAAGTGACCTGAACTGTGCTCTGGCATGATCCAGTGGTTCTGGGCCTTTACATGTAATTCCCTGCTGCACAGATTGCTCTATGAATTCTGCTACAGGCTTTTTCTTGCAATGGAAATACATTGGTTTTCGTTTCTGGTTTAGTGGAAATTGCCTGTAGCCTCAGTAGGTTTTAACACAATCTGACAGCTTAGAACCCTCTTCTGTGGCCACAGTCTTGTCAGTACCCATGTGTCTCTATCCCCACTTTGTTTTTTGCTGGGCCTGGGTGTAACGCTTGTGGTGATAGGTGGTAGTGTTTTACTGCTTGAGGGTCTCTATCTGCCATTTTGTGACTGACCATTACATTTCTATTATCTTCATCCAGCAGATGTTATTTTTTTTTTCTTTGACAGGGCTTGGGTCGATTGACTTTTTGAGGCCTGTGCGTCCACCTCAGAGCCCTTTTTGTAGTTGTTTGCATCTGGCCTCTGTCTCACAAGGCCTTCCAGAAATCATGGAGGGAGGGGTTTATGTCTTAGATCTCTAAGGTTTTAGACTGATCAGATCTGGTGAGCTGTAAGAAGCACTTCATGTTTGTATTGTGATGGTAAACATGTTGACATGAATTGTCTTTCTTGATGTATGTTCAGAATTCTGTGGCAGATTCCCCCCACTGATATTGAGTTTTTAGACCCCTCTTCTGCTAGGCAAAAGGGGACCATGGTGATTTTCATCCAAACTGTCACTAAGACACCTTAAAAGAGAACTATGAGGTGAGTGTTTTTCACTCACCTCATAGTTCTAGCCGACCTGTGACAATGAGACTGTCACAGGTCGGCTCAGTAGATCGGGAGGTGAGCGAACACATACCGGGTTCACTCACCTCTCGATCCTGTCACGGCTCTCTGCCTCTAGATAGGGAGAGCCAGCTGTCACTCACGCAGCTGGGCGGATCTCGGCATCGATGTTGGGATCCGCTCCGGCTGCGGTGTCTCCAGTATACCGCGAGCTGTAGTTCGCGGTATACTGAGCCTAGGGTGACGGGAGGACGCTAGTTTGTGTCCTCCCGTTACCCTAAGGAGAACTATGGGGGAAAGCCCTGACCCCATAGTTCTCCTTTAACTGCATGCTTCTTTTCTTCCCTCTGTGAGCCAGCTGATTCCACTATGATCTAGCAGGACTGAGTGATCCACAATTTTTTTTCCAAGTCATATTCATTGTTGCTAGCCCAGAAATGTAAACATCTTTTCTTATTTCTACAACCCCAGTTCCAAAAAAGTTGGGACGCTTTGTAAAATCTAAATAAAAACAAAATGCAATGATCTGCAAATCTCATAAACCCATATTTTATTCACAATAGAAAATAGAAAACATATCAAATGTTTAAACTGAGAAAATTAACCATTAAAATTTTCTAATTGATGGCAACACTTCTCAAAAAAAGTTGCGACAGGACAACAAAAACCCGTAAACCAAAATTACTGGTACTAACAAGGAAGAGCTGGAAGAACATTTTGCAACTAATTTAGGTTAATTGGCAACAGGTCAGTAACATGATTGGGTATAAAAAGCGCATCTTAGAGAGTCAGATTGTCTCAGAAGTAAAGATGGGCAGAGGTTCACCAATCGGTGAAAAGCTGCGTCTAAAAATTTTTGAAAAATTTCAGAATAATGTTCCTCGACATTAAATTGCAAAGACATTAAATCTATCACTATCCACAGTACACAATATCAACAGATTCAGACAATCTGGAGAAATCTCTGTGCGCAAGGGACAAGGCCGCAATGCAATATTGGATGCCTGTGATCTTCGGGTCCTCAGTCGGCACTGCATTAAAAACAGTCATGATTCTGTGATGGACATCACTGCATGAGCTCAGGAAAACTTCAAAAAAGAAGGACCTTCTGGCTTGTTATCAGTGCTCACTTCAAAAGTCTGCATCTCTGATGGTGCCTTTCCAGATGTGCAAGCTGCCCATTCCATACACACTAATGCACCTGCATACCATCAATAGTGAAAGCTATATCCAGGTTTTAGAGCAGCATATCTTTTTCAAGGAAGGCCTTATACATTTCAGCAGGACAATGCTAAACTGCATACTGCATCTTTGACAACAACATGGCTTCATAGTGGAAGAGCCTGGGGGTTTAACTGGCCTGCCTGCAGTCCAGAACTTTCACCAATTGAAAATATTTAGCACATCTTAAAACAATAAATACTACAAAGAAGACCCAGGACTGTTGAGCAGTTAGAATCCTATATCAGGCACAAATGGGCCAACATTCCTCTCTTAAAACTCCAGCAACTGGTCTCCTCAGTTCCCAGACATTTACAGAGTGTTGTTAAAAGAAGAAGGAATGTGTTTGTGTAAATAAGTGTATAAGACCATAACAATATTTGCCCTGCAAAATATTGTGCATAGAACTACATGTAAGCCGCAAAGAGGAACATTGGGAATGCAACTGTAAACGTACTGATGTGAGCCTTTCTGCACTTTTTAGGATGGTTTATTGTCCTGTGCTACAATAATATACACTTAGAGTGGCCAGATTATTATGACCACCCCATCAGTACTTCGTTGGGCCACGAGATGACTCCACGAGATGACTTAGTTGGGCCGTCTTGTGACTCCACGAGATGTTGAAAGGTGATGCGAGGAATCTGACACTGCACTGTTGCCCTTCTGTTGTCTTGTACCAGTCTTGCCACTCTACGTTCTGCCCTAACATTGACTAGTCGCTGACGGCCACAATTTGCATGTTCAGAGGATACTCGCTCCATGCTTGAGCGCCAACAATCATCCCACGTTCAAAGGCTGTTAAATCGCGTTGTTTACCCATATCTTCAGAAAGAAATCACGTCTACTGTCGTGGTAAACAACCTGCTTCCCTATTTATAATAGTCTGGCCCTCTAGCAACTTCAGCGCGAAATTATAGCTAATTATAGCTAATTTGCCTACAAACGTCAGGTGGTCATAATAATATGGCCACTCAGTGTATAGCGATGTGTTTTGGCAAAAAATGCTGAGGCTTTAGTACTACTTTAATTTCTATACAATACTTATAGATGCTTATAAAAGTGGTTTTACTGCTTGTTCACACTATGTAAATACTTATGTATGCTTGATCTGGGCAAAGATTCACTTTACAGAAATATGGAGCTTTCCTTTAAATGTCAAATGCTTACATTTATGTTACAGTTTAACATTTTCTGTTTTACTGTTCACATTTACATTGTGTTATGTATGTATAGATCATTTTAAAAAAATATTATTTTAATAGATACAATACCGGGAAGGCAGTGTATGGCTTCTTGTTTTTTTCTTCTGCGCCAATTTGATGACGTCTTGATATATCTTAACTCTATCAAGGTAAGTCCTGATGATGTGTTGTATATGAAAAGTAGTTAAAATACTTAAATATGTACTTTATTAAATCATTTAATTAAAAGGAATATTAAACAAGAACTCTGATGCAATGTCAAAAACAGAATATTGTTTAAATATTCTGATGAAACTGATACATTTAGTTAACGCTGTACTCCCTGTCCTTTGCAATGGAAGAGACGCTAAAATGCCATCCAGAACATGATTCTGTATGCTAATTGGCAAAACAGCTTATCCAGAGTAACTTCCTGATACACCATTTTTATTCCTGGTTAACCACGATATACTAGGAAAAAGCAACCATATGAAGGTCTTCATTTCCTAAATATTTACAGAAGTGACTGTTAGAAACATGGGGACCTTTTTATAAGTTTTTTTTACCTTAAATTTCAGTGTTGTGCTCCACATCTTCTGAGCTTGCCATAAACTACAATTTCAGTGTGGTGCTCCACATCTTCTGAGCTTGCCATAAACTACATTACATCTGGGATCAGGTTCATCCCATTACCTGAAAGTTCACTGACCTTCCAATATCGAGGTTCCTAGCCTTCTTTCTTCTGCACCCACTCCATCTCCTTGAAGATTTACAAATACTCAGTCATTATACACATTATATACATGTATTCCTGTAACAACCAGACCCCACAGGTCTTATTTTAGGTGGAGGATCACAGCTGCAATCCGCCCTATGGAAGCAGCCTAATACTCTAACCTTGCGGCAGTGATTTTAGAGAATAAATTATATCTAATCAATAAAAGACCTGATCCTTAAAGTTACTACTGAAAAAATTCGGAAAACCTTGTTTTATTGGTTGGTGTTTACCAAATATAGTCCTCCAAATATAGTGCATACCTTTGTATGTCTGCTTTCCAGAATGTTGTCATTTTGTGGGTGTTTCTATTGTCTTGGCACTTCAGGGCCTCTAAAAATGTGAAAGGTAGTCAGAAAATCAAATGCACAATGAATGCCCCTAAAAGCCTGAATGTACTCATTTGATTTCAGGCCCCCGTATGCAGCTAGAAAGCTATTAAGTCTCGTGTATCAGGAGGACTAGCAAATGTGTTTTGAGGTGTAATTATCAGTATGCCCATGCTGTGTGTGAGAGATATATTGGTACAATGACAACTTTGTAAAAAGATATATATTTTTTTATTTCTACATTTTCTAAAAAATTGTGGCAAAAAATGTGCTCTTCAAAATATTCTCCAAGCCTCTTACTTAAATATCTTGGGGTGTCTACTTTCTACTTTGGGTGTGTTTGTACTGTCCTGGCATTTTTGGGCCTCAGAAAATGTGATAGTCGGGGTTTATACATTTCAAACATATATAACATAGTTTTGTAGATGTCAAAGTTCATGAAACGGGTGAGATTCCAGGCCCAAATATCCATATTTATTTACAAACTCTCAGCTGATGATCACATAGCACATTGTTCCATTATGTATTGTCCAGGACTGAGCTCAAAAACAAGTCTACACATAGAATGTCTCCTTTGTCTTACCACAGCTCTTGACACGCCCACACAGGAAGATCGCCTGTGTCGAGATCTTTTCAAATGTATAGGCCCCCCAGCTAGGTAACAATAGGTGACAAAAGCTTCTCCAAACATCAGCAGCATTTTATAAATACAATACAAAATAATTTATAAAATACATGCTCCGTGACAATCCCTTCCCCTTCCAAAGAAATGCACCCAGAAGTAGCCTGCATAGGTTGCTTCTGTGATTTACAAGTAATTAAATGATCCTAAGAAATCACAATGCAAGGTCCCCACATCATTTCCCAGAAGAACATCTGCTGGTAAACCTCCCATCACACCTACCCAGCATAATTTTTCCCCTTGCCCATAGTCCAAATGCACGTTTGCAATATGTATACTCTTCTTTATGCCACCAGCAAGTTCAACTATAATTCCTGGGCCTGCCTGAATAGCCACGGGTCTAACAACACGGGGGTTCACAATTGTCAGAAGGGCTCCACTGTCCATGAAACCTACTGCTATTTTCTCATCAATCCTTACATGCTGAAGATAAGGTTTTCTTGATGTAGAGTGGCCAGGTACAAGGGGGTGAACTCCATATACTCCTGGTGGTGTTTTGGCTGGATTGGGTCAAGGATAAAGTCCAAATGAAGATGTAGGAATCTCTTCATGCTCCGAGTACTGGCCAACCGAATACTGCTGCTGACTTGACTTCGGTTGATCCATTGACTTCGTAAACCCCAGAAGGACTGCATGCGGAGCTGGGGTTTAGAGGATACCTGGGCAGTGAGGCCTCTACCTGCTGGATAGGGTTTTGCTGCACACCATGAGCCTTCTGATGACTTCTAGAGCATCAATATAATTGTATATGTCCAAGTTGGCCATAAGCATAACATCTTTTATGTGTCCTTTTTGAGGCTTTTCTCTGGCTACAAAAACCACAGTGCATCCTGAGTCTGAATGATATTTTCATTTGTGATGGGAGAGGGAGAGGTACAGAGGCCATTTACTTTGTACGGGAAACTGACCATAAGGGTTTTTAAACAAGGCTGTATAGACAAAAGTTAATCTGCCAAACAGGCTGCAACCTCAAGTGTGGCTTGCTTCCTTTCTTTAACTCACTCGCCTATCTCGGCAGGGCATTTACTATAAAATTGTTCTTTTAGAAAAGTCTGGAGGATATCACCAACAGTAAAAGCCTGTTCTCCTTCTAGCCTTCAGTGACAGGCTAGAGTCATCCATACATTTTAAATGACCCACTCTCATTGTATTGCATGTCTCTAAACAGGGTGCTATGTATGACTGCATAATATGAAAGTATTTCACGTACCTTTTCATAGCTTGAGCCTTTTAGATTTATAGTTCGAAAGGCCTCAGCAGCTATACCATCAAGCAGTCCAGCTAATAGGCAGATCCATTCTCTTTTTGGGACTTCCATTAAGTGTCACTGATTCTCAAAATCCAGGAAAAAGCCGACAATATCATCACTCGTCTCATTAAACGATTTAAAGACTTTTCTGCTGGCTTTTGGATGCTGGTAGTAAGCTGCATCCTTTTCAGCTTGAGCCTTCTGCGGTGCTGCTCTGCTCTTCTAATGGCTTCCTGTTTATCATCCAGAGTGGCCTGTTTTCCCAGTATGGCCATTTCCTCTAAATACTAAGCCAACTGTTGACTTTTTGTAGACCTTTTCCTTACTTCTTTCTAGAGTTTTTTCCTTGAAGCTCTGGCCTGGATATCTCACTGAATTCCACCGCTGCCAACCAGTGCCAAAGATATTGAATCAGGGGTGAGATTCCAGGCCCAAATATCCATATTTATTTACAATCTCTCAGCTGATGGTCCCATAGCACATTCTTCGATTCTGTAGTATCCAGAAATGAGCTCAAAAACAAATCTACACATAGTCTGTGAAGGTTCTCATTCATCCAGGTCATGGTATATCTGTAAAAAAATAAGTCAAGGCAACTGGACCTGCTGTATTTTTCTTGAAGACGTTTCACTGGACATCCAACCAGCTTTCTGAATTGAGACGTCTTCAAGAAAAATACAGCAAGTCCAGTTGCCTTGACTTATTTCTTTACAGAAAACTACACATAGAATGTCTCCTTTGTCACACCACAGCCCTTGACACACCCACACAGGAAGACCACCTGGGTGGAGATCTTTTCAAATGTATAGGTTACAATAGGTGACAAAAGCTTCTCCAAACATCACCAGCATTTTACAAATACAATACAAAAAATTTATAAAAATACATGATCCGTGATAGTAGACTTTATAACTCTCACAGAAAAATGTAGAGAGAAGCGCTGCAAATCAGAATGGGGCTGCACAATGCTTGGATGTAAGGGTACGGGTGGGAGGGAAAGAATAGTAAAGGTCCATGGTGTGAATCGACAATGTTATTAGAATGCGGATGGTGAACTCAGCGATTGATCCGATTCATCCCAGAAGACAAAAATATGTGGTACAACGGTGAGGTCAGCGTATAGCGTGGATTGATAAAAATGTAGAGACTTACCATTAGGTAAGAAGTGTTGCGGAGTCATCGGCGAGGGGTGCAGTCTGTAGATTCCGAATTTCACCTTTGCTGGTTGTAGTCTGTTCCTTTAAGGGGATGTCGGTCTGCTGGTCACTGATCCGCAGAGGAAGTCCTGGTGGGTGCGGATGGCACAGTGGCTGAACATAGGGTTCCTTTTCTTCCTGTGTTGAGCCAGGAGAGGCAGCTGACAGGCTGTGGTGGGCCGGTCTGTTCTCAGATCTTCGGGATGACGCTGGGGAACTCCGTGACAGGGAGATCAGCAGTGTCACACTCGTGGAGAGGGGGGAGTGAGCTGGGACAGCAGCGGTGCTGTAGCCGTCTGCAACGGTCCGGTGAGCGCCCGTGGAGGAGGCTAACAAAATCACAATATGCAGAGGGGGAAAGAGAGAGGGGGCTGGGTATGACACTGTGCTTCGGTCGTTAAAGGCAGTTCGGTGAACGGCCTAGGAGGAAACTGGCAGTGTCACACTGAGCTTCTGCAGTGGACAGATAACGACTGGGGGGGATGTGGGGAGCGCTTCTCTCTACAATTTTCTTTGCTTCCTCAACCGGTCGGACACCCCGGTCCGAATGCCTCTGAAGCCGCTCACCTACCAAATACCCTACTTAAACCCCCCACCCCCCCTTAGCGAGCGCTGTATCCTTTGACTTTGTCCCCCACAAACTCACATTTATAACTTTCACGCAGACTAAATAATATACACTTGGGTTCTTTTTTATTTATTTTTTTACCAAAGAAATGTAGCAGAATACATTTAGGTCAATTTATGAAAAAAGATTATTTATTTGATATGTTTTATAACAGAAAGAGGAACAGGATTTTTTTTCAAACTGTTTGATCTTTTTTTCTTTATATAGTAAAAAATAAAAAAGACCCAGTGGTTATTAGATACCACCAAAATAAAGCACGGTCTGTCTAAAAAAATGATAAACAATTTCTTTGGGTACAATGTTGCATGACT